TATGTATATATATATATACATATACATATATACATATAAATATATATATATACACGCACACACACACACACACACATATATATATATATATACCTTCAAGTGTATTATACAAAGAGCAGCTGATACTTATTACACGCATATTGACAACCATTCGTATATGGCATACACATCTAGACGAATACATATCCACTCAAAATGGTTCTCTCGGATTCGAGCCATTCACACACAGAGCTGTCTAGCTCATGAATCATACCGTTTGGGACTTGAATAAACTTTTCAATTTCAACACCAGCTCTAGTTTGGATTGTTCGCCCGAGGGACACGGTATCGAGTACATATCCCCCCATATATTATTATGCGACGGCTCCGTCTTTATCTTTGAGCTTCCAATACTTAATTCGATGTACGTCTTGTGCGGATGGGGGGCAACACGATCGGCCTTGAGCACATGCACCTTCACGGCCGCAGCCTGAACTCCCATATTGATACCTTGGATCGAAGTATATATTTGTATATATTTATGTATAGCTCTATATCGATGGCTTGTGGTCTGTTAAGAAGGAACGAATGCAGAGTACGCTTCACGTGGTATAGCGCCGGTCTAGGAAGATTTGGCTTAAACACTAATACTTCTTGGTCGATTATGCATGTGTCTTCGGATGCAGCTCTGTGTCAATGACTTCTACAAAAGTTCCTTCATGCATAGGCATGCCAAGACTCTATGATGTTGGGGAACTTATTTGAGTTTTCGTCTAACTTAGGTCTAATAAAATGGAAGAAATACAACAGCTATGTACTAGATGAATACGCCGAGACACTAAAAGCCTTGTAACGCAGACTTTTCAGACTTATAAGCACGCTGCGTGTAAAAGTTGCAGAAGAAGCAGCTGTACGCCTACCCAATCGTTCAACTCTTGGAGATTACAATCTCATAGAGAGAGAAAGAACTAGAAGCGATAACTAAAATATGCCAACCCCCAAGCCCAATGAAGCCCCCAGTAAACACATCTACTACAACTTTTACTACTGGTCGGATGGTATAAATGAATACGTACTCAGTGGTTGTTTTAATTCCATTATAGGGTTGGAAGCCGATATCATGTTAATGTACCCAAGAATTTTACGTTTATTCGCCGAGACAAATTATTGACGTATGATTGGCTCTGAGCTCGGCAACGATATTGAAACTCCAGGATACGCTAATCTGATATTTAAAAATTGTCGGTTCCGCATTTCTTTTTAACTTTTTATATAAATATTTTGAAATTTTATTTCTCACAAGAAAAATTCGCGTCCTCATGAGTCATCGCTCGCAGTCAAGGCGACCACGACACAACGCCCACGGCCACGGGGCACGAGCCGACGGCCTTAAAAAATATATTTAATGTTTGGATTCGCGTGAATATAAATTCATTGTTCATAACACGTACATACATAGCCTTCTGCTGATTTAGAAGAAAGCTTATATACATATAAGATATATATAAATATATATGGTATCTATATATATATTCTTCTATATATCTATAGATCTATAGTCAT